ATCACATTCAGTCTTATGAATTTTATCAGATAAGTCCTCAGTCTCTTTATTATTCCTCCCAAAAGAGTCAATTAGCAATTTAGATTTATGCAGTTTAGCTGTTAAATCCTCAATCTGCTTCTTCAATCTTACTGTCTCTTGTGGATCAGAAACACTCTTCATCAGATCATTCATCTTTTTCTTGCAAAACTCTCTTCTCTTCTTTCTTTCTCTCATTACAGTCAGTAAGACGAATTGTCTACGATATATTCTTATTAAGCTCAAAATTTAATTTATCGTATTTTTCTTTAAGATCTTTATATTCCCTCTCGACAAAAGTTGTCATTTCAAAATAGATTGATCAAAGGATCTAATGCGATGAAATCAATTCGAAGAAATAAAAAAACAATTGAGCTCAAAACTAGTTAAAAAAATGGTCCAAAAAAATATTTGAAAACTAGAAAAAAAAAAGCTAAAAAATTTACAGCTGGGCTAAAAAAATTGAAGAGATTTAAATGAGTCCCAAACAAAACAAAATCAAGCCCAAAAAAAAAACAATTGAGAGATAAACCAAGCTTCACTAAGAGTAACTCCTCTGTTCACCTGAATTTGTTGTATTCCGGTCAAATCCTTGTAAAAATCACTTAGAAGCTGATTGCATGTTGGACACAGATATGTTTGAAAACAAGCTTCTAGTTGACCAGTCACACTACTCACTATCATTGAAGGGAACTCAATGATCTCTTAGGGATGAGGGTTCCTTTCCTTGTCACATGTAGCCTCAAAATCAATTACCACAAAATAATGGAAACAGTTGTTTTATTAATGACAAGAATTTTTTCTTCAAATTTGACGCCTATTAGTATCTCATAAACCTTAACAACAGCTGAATCATTCAAGTATCCCCACCCAGAAGGAGAACCTAATACGAACAACTAGAGTGCAACAGTGGAACTTTATGTGATGCACATATCAAAAGCAAACATCAACAGCAATCATCAACAACAAATATTAACATCAAACAACTCAAACACAAAACAGAATGGTAAGGCTGAATCGACCAAAAGTTCTTGAATAAGATCACACCAGCAATGAATGGGTAAAAACAATCAATCACACCAGACAACCTGGCTTACTGTTGCTTTATTACAGTTGAGCTCTGCACCATCCTTTAATGCCAATAGTTCAAGTTTGTGTGAAAGAATCCATCACCAAAGTAATGTAAGTCCACTGTATAAGGAATCCATCACCAAAGTAGATGTAACTTCCTTTAAAAAAAAATGCTTCACAGCAACTTTAAGTATTGAATCAGGCTTCTCCCTTGATATGCAGTGCCTGGCCGTTTGATCAATTCCTAACCAGAAGGTACAGAAGCTTGACTATCTAACTTTATCTTCTATTAACTTTCCAAGCCTTCCTCTCCTCTCTTCCACAAAACAGCCTTTGTCACTGCCAGCTGCTAAGTACCAATGGGGTGGCCTAAAACGACCAAGGCCGAGTTTGTAAGAATGAATGCCACAAATGATCCGGAAGAATGTGCACCAACAGAACTTTTGGAGGAAATCTATGATTTTATTGTTCAAGAAGAGATAAAAATGAAGGATGACACTGCAGGTATGGGGAAAAGCAGCAAAAAGCCAGAAGCTGGCATTATTGGTAATCTTAATTTGGTTCTCCCAAAACAGAAAAATCAAACTGACACACAATCTGAGAGTGAAGCTGTCAGGTGATTGTTGAAGCAAAGAACTTCAATGTTGAGTCTAATCAAAACAGTCTTCAGATATCTGTATCCGGCAAATCCAAAATCCAAATTCAATTTAGCCAAGTCCGATCAAGAATCCACCACAAATCTGTCCAAAATCAAAACCAACCTGTGAACCTTTCAAGCGATTTAAGCCAAATACGATTAAAACAATGATTGATTTACATAAAAAAAATTTCACAAATCGGGGACAACCGATCACAGGTTTCACCTTCCACTCATGGGACACCTGCACAGATGCTTCCTGCAACCCTTTGAAACTTTTGTCCAAGTGAAATCTGAAATGATTAGACTAGAAATTTCCAAATAGTACTAAGCAGAAACACAGGGAGCTGTGTTGGTAAAAAGCTTAGCTACAAAAGAACCTTCTGCACTTGGTTTGGATACTTATTACAAGCAATATTATATATGCTTGGTCGCTGCTACAACAACTACCAAGTGGATTGAAGCAGAGAAATCCTCCAAATAAGACGGGCAACAATTCTTGGAGTATTCACCTCAAGCAGATCATGTACAAGTTGTCATTGTAGATTTTGTAAACGTATTTCATTCAAAATCTGATCTTGAGATGCCCAACGATTCTGGCTGTCCGATTTAGCAACGATGAAGATGTAAATCGGATGTTGGTTAGCGATTAAGATGAACTCGCACAAAAAAGAACCAGTGAAATCAAAACTGATTACAACTAATCAGTCAAGACAGTAAGTGATTTATGAGAAACTAATCAGTCAAGACAGTAAGTGATTTATGAGAAATCGAACAAGTCTGTGATGGATTGAAATCGAACAAACCTATTAAACCCTTTCAGCGATTTGTCTAAAATCAACCAACCTGTGATGAAAGTCGATTGGACAAGACAGAAATTGTGTGATAATTCCTAAATTGGATGGATGTTGTACGATTTACACAATCCAATCAAGTTGTTCGATTAATCTGTGCGATTAACCTCAAATTGGATGAAGTGGTGTCTGATTTAGTTAAATATCGGTCACTGAAGTGTACAATTTAAGTGAAACCTTATGAGCGACTTATTGTTAAACCCGACAAGGTAACGTGCGATTTAACCAGAAATCGGACAACCTTCAATCGATTTACATTAAACACAGTGAAGAAGACGGGCGCTTTAAGAGAAATCGAACAAGGAAGGAGCAAAGGAGCGATTTACAGTGAGCGATATAGAGTGAAATCGGACCCTGTTTGAGCGATTTAGATGACCTAACTGTGTGATGAAAACTTGAGATCGGACAGGGAGATGCGTTTTCTTGAGCGATTTATGAATCCGGGAAGATGGATTGAGCGATTTATGAATCCGGGTAAAGTTAGTTGAACGATTTTCTAAATCTGATGAACAAACTTGAGCGACAGTGTTCAAAGAAGCTGAAGAACAAAATTGGGCTGATGAAATTGTGTTGGGCCTAAAACAAATTGGGCTAAGCGATTTAGAAAACAAAAACACAAAAAACAACAAAAAATTTAACCAAAATGGATCAAAAACACTGGTTTTTTAAAAGAAATTCAAGAACACGAAAAAAAATTTAAAATCACTAAATCGATCGAATCTCGAAATGGAATGATCAAATCACAAAAAATTGTGAATAATAAAGATTCACAGTTTAATTCCGCACAGTTTGATCCCAAATTTAACACAAAAACACGAAATTTTTCAAAAATTTTTTTGAATCAAACCTAAAGAAAAATGAAGAACCTTAAGTAAAAGATGAAGAACACACAAAAATTCCAGAAAAATTTCACAAAACCTTCAAAATTGATGATTTCTTTTCATTATTTCGTGCATAATCCGTTCTGATACTAATTGATAGCCCCTACAATGATCAATCTTTAATAAACTTTCATAATCATGGCGGATCTGGATATAGAAATTAAGAACATGAAGGAGATAAAGAGAGGAAAAGTCAACTTTCAATATTGGTCAAACCTCTATTACGATAAACTGAATTTTACAAATGAGCTCCTACAAGATTTACACAAAAACTAATCTATTTATAGGGTCAAAGTTAAAACCCTTGAAAGTCAAAGTCAAACTACTTACAAAGTCAAATACGATGTCTATTTTAATTATAGACAATATTTATCTTTCAAGACGAATATAATTTAATACTAAAATTCAGTGATAACAATGGACTTGGTAATTATGAAGATTGTTGTTGGAGGATTGTTGGTTTGATACAATGCTAAGGTAATTATTATTTTTATTACGATCATAACTTATTTACTAGTTAATTTTCCTAAGTCATGTGTTTTTTAACAACATATTGATACGTAGGCGCATTTGAAAATGTTAGAGAGACTGATGAACTCACGATGTACGATATTCTGGTTATAAGCTTGAATTTTTTTTCCCTCAATGAATTACGATACATTAAGTTGATGAACGACACAAAAAATATTATATCCGGCCCGGTGGCTAGTTGATGAGGTAAGAATGCGTAATTTTGATGTACTTCCAGATAAACATTGATTTATAATGAAGCATTTAATTTTTTTTTGTAGGTAATTATCCCAGTACATATAAACGGAACTCATTGGGTTAGTACAGTTCTAAACCTAAACTCGTGGTTGATCAACGTATATGACAACATGAATTATGACGCGTTTTTTAAGGGTGTGTTTGGTACGCAGACATGACAAGTGTTAAGCGTTTTGTAAGACATGACAGGATAGGACAGAACTGGTTAAAATGACCAATTTACCCCAGTGAGCTGTTTAGCGTTTTTTCACTAATTAATCAATATAAATGTTAACAAATACTATTTAAAAATACAAAAAAAATCTAAAATCAATATTAATTAAAAACTCACATTCATAAATCAAAAGATTTAAACATCATGTTCACCAACACAAAAGTTGAAATGTTTACCAACATTCAAATGTTTTTTTTGTGTACCAAAAGACCTGAACACAAAAGATAAAATGTTTATAATTGTGTACCAAAAGACTTAAACACAAAAGATCAAATTTTTACCAACTAACATCACATTTCTAACTTCTTTAAGATGGTCCTCACAAATTTTGGCTTCAAAGTAGCATTAATGCTATTACATAGGCATAGTTGAATCAGGTTATCGGCAAAAATACATGCTAATAGCAATAACCTGATCATCATCAAAACCCATGTTGCTTAACTCATCGAGCATAGTTTGTAAACCCGGAGTACCAACAACTGATACCAACTTACCCATTTCATTGGATAACGAATTCAACCTCTTTTCAATCATCTTGATCGCATCTTCAGAAACACCTACTTTCTCTTTCTTTTTTTGGATGATGCTTCTACGTCTTGTGGAATGGAGGATGCAGAAGCGCCATTAGAAGGAGTAGTCGAAGGCATATTCAATTCTTCGGTATCAGCACCGACTTCACTCTCTAGATTGCTGTGCTCCAATGTATATGCGGCAGATTCCGCCATCGATCCTGTAGCTCGATCTTTTCCAAATATTGTCTTCAGTCGCTCATATTGGGGAAACGGTTTGTTGGCAATATAATTTTTGCTTGGATGTTTCTATTAAAAAAATGCATAAATATATATAATGTTAATCACTATCCATATGAAATTAAATATCAAATAATCACATAAAAAATATAAGTGTTACCTTTAAGTATTCCTCTAACACTTGAGCATCCACCGTTACGCATTGATGCGCATCATTCCAACCGAAACCACTTGTATTCAACATGTCATAAGCTGCTGAATATTTATCTTTGAGCCGCTTCATTTTGTTTTGGATATGTTTTGATACTATATTGAGGCCCGAGATCTTTTCACGCATCTTTAAAACGATTTGCTCATATGTGCCGGTCCGAAAACACCCATTATCACTCCTACCACCGGCGGCTACAATCTCTTGTAGAACAATAATTAGTACATCCTCTTCTTGGATACTCCAATTACGTCTATCCGCCATCTTTTAAATTCCAAAATTAACACCATGACCATAGTAATAAAATAATACGTTACGATAAGCATTTTAAAAACTCAACAATAGTAATAAAACAACAAATTAGGATAACATTTTAAAATTCAACATTAGCAACAAAATAATACATTATGATAACATTTTAAAATTCAAAAATAGTAATAAAACAATACATCGAGTCCATTCATCTACTTGATATCCACGACTGAAACATCTTTTGGGCTATGCCATCTCTCCATTGAGTCCACTCATTACTTGATTCAACAACATCAATAGATTCAACATCATCATTGGATTCAACTTGCTCTTTCCCTATAGACATATCTTCTAGTGTGAGTGTCGTGTTTTCTTTCGGATCAAGAACCATGTACATCCTAATAAAATTATGTAGCAAAGCACTTGCTATGACCATTCTTCCTTGAAGTTTTATTAGATAGAAAGAAGGACTTCGTAATATGGCCTAATGTTTCTTCAAAATACCAAAACACCTTTCTATGATATTCCTAGCTTGTGAGTGTTTCATGTAAAATTATTCTTCATTATTTGTAGGTGTAAGACCAATGTGTTCCCATTCTCATAAATGATACCTAGTACCTCTATATGGTGCCAAAAATCTGTTACCATTGACATATTCTGCATCAGCCAAATAGTAATTACCCATTGGGACTTTTAAACCATTATTTCTTGTAACCGCATCTCGTAGTACCCTAGAATCAGTAGTTGGACCTTCCCAACCGGATAAAACATAGATAAATTTCATGTCCCGAGTGCATGCACCTAATACATTAATCTTAATATGACCCTTCCTTGTTCTGTATCTTGGTTTATCTACTGCTTTGATACCACTTGTTGGTCCCATGAGGGTCTAGAAGATGTGTATAACAGTTTGTAGAAGGGGGGATGAATACAAACACAGTAAACTTTTCAAATTTAAAATATATATTGATAAGGAAGGATCAATACATATTTTACAATATTGTTTGCGGAAAGATAAGGTAAAGATAACCTATCTAAACAATCTAAGTTACACACTAAGTCTTAGCCAAGAGAAATGATTTGTTGTTTAAGACTTAGAAGAAAGTAAGTTCTTTCTGGGTAAGAACTATTTAGAATACTAAAAAGGGATTCTAACTTGCTTTTGAAGATAAGCGTATTGTATTCTTAGATATGTGTTCTTTCACGTATGAACGTAAGTTAGGGTTTAAGATTAAGAGTATCTTTGCATAGAGATAGAACACATCTATTTATACTCATTGCATTAAATACACATTTATTGCAAGGTAGTAGGGTTTGAACACTTGTCAAGCCTTTAGAGAAAGACTTGTCCTTCGCTACAGTGAATAGTACAAAAGCCTATTCATGAGCAGATATCATTTCATGGAGTTGGTGGATAGTAGAGTCAACTAATCGACTCTGTACCGTACTATGCTTTAGAAAGGGTATGGGTTTGTTCTTTGTGTGTATAAGGACAAGACAAAAACAATCGTGCTTAACAAGCTTCTTTTGATCGATGAATGCTGGAATAACCTGAAGGTCTCTTCAGCATTCGCTGAGGCTTGGGCAGTCTTCACACATGTATAGACCAGATTGTAATCACTGAATACCGCTTCAGATCACGAACTCGCCAGTCTCTAATCTTCAGTTTCAGTCTTCGACTTTAGCTGAAGGTTCTTTGGTGTAAGTTTTGTCTTCTTGAAGTATCGTTGTCGCTGATGGATTTACATTACATGTTCTCAGCAATCACTGAATAGACTTAGTGATGATCGCTGGAACTGAAGGACAGAAACATAAATACTTCGTATAAGGTAAAAGGGATTATCATCAAATCACTGAGAGAGAGGATCAACAAATTTTTTTCCCTATATTTGTTTCTTATAAGCAAATGTAGCATTGTTTAAAAAAATCTAGAGAACAACAAAAAACATAGATGTGAAGACAAATTTTAGTAGGATTTTTTTTACTAATGGAGACATTAATACCTATAACATTCTCTATGGGGACATAACCAAAAACACCACCAATTCACTTGCAATTTTTTAATTTTTTTGACATATGGTTTTTCTACTTTTCCTTGAAGTAGGCAGACGCAGAGAACCATTAAATTAAACAAGTATTAAGGGCTATTTGGTTTTTACATAATGGCTTAATGGCGTGGGTGGCTTAATTGCTAAGCCACATTTAGGTGTCTCTTTACAACTTAATGATAAGCAATGACAAAAATTGATGAGCCAATTAAGAAAGAACAGATGTTTCGTCGGGGTATGCGACTAGAACCCCTTAATATTCCACTGAAAGGGCAACTAACAAAAGGCAGAGAAAAGGGCTTACAGGATTTCCAACCAGAAAAGGGGGAGCAAGACCCCCAACCATCATCATTGAAATGGACTTAGAAATTGGGATGAAGCTCATTCAACATGCTGACACYAATGATTTGAAAAAGCCATTAAGGATTTCTACTCAAACCCAACTAAGCCCCGAGGAAACCTTCTGCTCAGAGCCCTCAATAACTTGTTTGTCTCGTATGCAATAACTAAGGATAGTGGGAGTTTAAGCTATTTCCGCCAGCTACGGTAGTGGTGAAGCACTACTGAGAAATTCACGTATCACTTGATACGAACGACTTTTGTTTTTCTGCAAGGCCATAATTCTTTCACCTATAGATAGCCAAAATCCTGAAAAAAGGAATTGGAACCTCACTGTCCTTTTTAGGCAGTTACATTAAGTTGGGGTCTACTCTAGCTTTACCTTTCCCTCCCAAAGTTCGTCGGGTCGATGACAACCCGCGACGTATAACCATTTTCCATTTGTCCAACTCCCTCTCCTCTCCTCCTCCCTCCATGGTTGCTCCCTTCTCCCTTTGATACACATTTTGATGATCGAAGGTGTAATTTTTATTAGAATTCAATGAAACGAAAAGTTTACAGAAGATATCTGATGAACAAAGAAGTTTCTTGACTTTCGAGAGGTCGAGTACTCTCCAAAGATTTTCGCCCAAAACACACACACACAAACTTACTGATCCCCTTCTAACCTCTTGCTCCCTTTATTTATACTACCTAAAGCATGTACTAGTGCATTAGACACTTGTACCATAGTCTACTCTATTTGACTTATTTATATTGTTGTGTGTTTCTTCAATTCAAACATCATTATATTGTTTTGCATCTTCATCTTGTTGTACCATGTGTATTAACCGTTGTACCTTAATATCAGGGTCTTTATTGCGTTTGCATTCTTTCTTGGAATTCCATTGATGCACTTCGTTATTTTTATTATGGTGTGTTTATTCTGGTGGGCTATGATCCATTACATAATAGGGTAAAATGGTCATTGTTTTATTCAACAGAAAAAACTAAACAACAATTTATCTGAATCCATATACTTAACTTATTATATCCATACAGGTTTAATTAAAAATACTTTAATCACAAACTATCTAGACAAAAGTAAAGTCAAAACAATCATAATGCTCATGAATCATGATAACATGTTCACTTGTTTTTAATCCAACCATATATATGATCACACAGAATTAGAGCATCGAATTATAAAGGGGGTGTTTGGGATTGCTTATAAAAAACAACTTATTGACTTATTTCGGTGTGACACCGGTAATAAGCACTTTTAAGTGTTTGGATAAACAGCTCATACCGATGCCAAACTGGTAATAAGGATTTTTTGAGAAAGTTAAATCATTCTAACCTATAATAAGTTGATAAGGACTTCTGTAGAAAAGCATAAGTTGTTTCACATAAGCAATCCCAAACACCCACAAAATTGTGCCACTAATAGAGTAAGGAATGACGTTTCAAGAAATTTAAAAATCAAAATGTGCAATTTGTGAAAATATACCAAACAAATTAAAACTACTAATTAAAAGAAAATGTGTCTTATAAAAATAAGTGTTCTATAAAAAATAGGTTTATATGACACTTTTTTAAAAATGTCCTATAAAATTGTTGATGTGATGCTTTATATTAAAAGTGTCCTAAAAACTTTGTTAAGACGAACGTCATATAAACTTATTACAACGTCTTTAGATAGGATGTTTTAATTTTTGGTTCTATAAAATGATATATTAGGACGCTTATAAATTAGTAGTGTCGTATCAACCCGATTTTGTTGTAGTGCTTGTTTGCGACTATTAATTAATTAGACAACGATATTAAACAATTTATATTAAATTATATACTATAAGCTAAACAAATTAAGACATTAAACGAGGTAAGAAAAATCAATATTGTGCTACATACATACATACATACATACATATAGGGATTAAAAAACTACAGGGAACGTACATCGAGCGACACGTTCATATTCATAATGAATATGTGATTCATATGAATAACATGTCCATATTAATTATAATAAGACTTAAATGTTGCTACTATCATTGGAGACTTCTTATTATTTAACTTTCTTTACTATCTCGTTTGTATTCATTAACATATTATATTATTAGTAATTTGTTTTACTTATGTTATAAAATGTTGTAATTGACTAATTTTTCAACATGTTATTTTCATCACTTAACATTTTCAACTAGATTATCAGTAATTTTTGTCAAATAAACGTTGTTCATAAGCTAGTTTATCAACTACCAACTAATCAATTATCAGCTAGCTTATCAGCCAATGTGTCAAACGTAGCCTTAACTAAAATTTAATTTTTTGCCACCCACCATTGCTTCTTCGTCGTTATCCATAACCGTCCCTTCCCCTATCCAACCTGAGTCTGATCCGATCCTGAGATTTTACAAGCTCGAGACGTTATAGAAAGGTTCCCAACAGATACAATAAGAGTATTAAGCAAATATTTTCATCATAAAAAATGAAATTCATATAAAAACTTAATTTTAGATAATATTCTTCTATTTTATATGTTAGCACATAACATATTTCGTTACTCTTATAAGTGGCAGATATATTTAGTTATATAACGTTAAATGAGATTCTAATCAAATCTATTATCTTATGATATATATGAAGTTATTTTTTAATAGGCTATGAGGTCATGAATTTTTATAGACTCGTTAATTATGAGTAGTAGGTTATGTGTTTTGCCATCAGAAATAATATATAAATGGTGTGATTTAATTTAAATAACACTGATCTAAAAGTTGTGTATTCTCTGAATATATTTTGTTTTCCGCAAACTAATTGTTCCCCTGCTTACAAGGGCAGATCTATGAATGTCCGAGTGGGTTCTCGTGCAACCGCTCAACGTATTTTCTTAACTAGGGTTTTTTTAGGTATGAAAGAGCATCCGTTAAATTTCGAGGGGTGCTCAGAGATATTGTAAGGAACGTCAATCAAAAAATTGAAAAAATACCTTGAAAACAACCAGAAAACTTAAAAATCTCTCAAAATCAACAAAAAAAATTAAAAAAATCTCTCGAAAAGATGGAATTCGGCTAAAAACGCATCGAACGACTTTGTGGTGCCACTACTTGCTTAGTTGCTTTAAATGCTAGTAAGTTGGTTTACAAATATGTAGGGGTGTTCATGGTTCTATTTGAGCTGTTTAACCCCCCAAACCATAAAACGAACGGTTTGGCAGCAAGTGACAAAACAAGTCAAATCGGACAATAAAAGACGGTCTGTCTATTCGATTTAAGGTGGTTTGGACCTCTTATGAGCTTTTTAAACTAAAAAACATAGCATCAATATTCAAAATAAGTTTTTTACCAATATGACATTATTAAAAAATATTATATTGAATTTCAAAAGAAATGTATAGACCAGACCAGACAGGGCGATTTGGCTATTTTTCAGATCGGACTAGACCGTCAGACCATTTAAATCGCCAAAAACGATCATGTTTAACTTGATTCAACTGGTTTAAACGATCGAACAATATTTTTGAACACCCCTACACATATGTACTCGATGTACAAAATCCCAATGCACTTTACACCTTAATGTATTTATTACATTAAATATAAGTTGTTCTAAAGAATTTGTAATGAAAAAATGGTCAAATAATCCAACAACTTATCCTCAATAATCTCTTGCTCCAGAAATTATAGCAAATGTGAAATGTGTTATTTGTTGACTTTTTATAAATTTATTAACAACCCTAAATTTTTGACCAAAATTTCCAACCGATTTTGTTATAAATACTTGCATTGTTTTGCCCGATAGTAAGAGTAGTGTTATTTCCGTCGCTAAAATGGCTGAAAACGCAAATCCAATAGCGGAGACAACACAAGACGTAACTGTCGTTGCCGAAAACCGTACAACTCCAAATCCTGCCGCCAACAAGAAACACGATCCAAAACCCTCCTCTGTAAAACGAATCATGTTTCCATTAACCACAATTTCGTTCCTCCTTTCTTTTCCAATCCTCTTTTGTATCGTATGGTTGTTATACGTGAAACAGTGTAACTGCGAACACCTGTTGCCATTGTCAAAGCTGCAACACGGGGTTGTTTTCGCATTAATTCTCTTGTTCGTCGTTAGCAACAGTGTCGTGTTCTTGAGATCGCGCTTTTTGATGTTGGGATTGATCGTGGTCATGGTGCCACTGATTGTGATTCTGACAATAGGGTTGGCGCTTGTAGGATCGTACACGATAGAAAGCAGAATGATCCCTGGTTCACCATCATGGCTCAAAATGATGGTGAACGATGACAATAATTGGTACAATATCGAGACTTGTATATACAATACGAGAACATGTCAGGACTTGGCCGTACAATCAATCATGATCAAGTCTTACGATTTTTCAATGACTAAACTCTCTCCAATCGAGGTATCAGTATTTTTATCGATGTACATTTAAAATGTGTACTTTATACATAAATATTTACTTATTTATGTATTTAATTATATCCGTGTACAAGTTTTTTTTTGTGTGTACTGAGATTTTTTTTCATTTTTTAGGCTTACAAAAACTCAAAAAAAGTTATAATACGCATAGTAATTGATTTTTCTGCTAAAATATTTGTTTTCATGTTTGTCTAATTTCTAGTCGGGATGTTGCATACCACCCACAATTTGTGACATGGAGTATTTGAATGCGACATATTGGATAAAGAAAACCGAAGTTTACGATGATCTGGACGGCCCATACGATATCGACTGCGATTTGTGGCAAAACAACGTTACCAAGCTCTGTTACGACTGCTACGCATGCAGAAAAGGATTTATCAACACTTTGCGGCAAAAATGGTATAAGCTTGGAGTCTTTCTCGTCGTAGTGACAATCTTGCTTATTGTTTCCCATCTCTTGTTATTTGTCGCTTCAATGCAAGAACGTTATGCGTCGTAGAACGTACATTTTTGAAACTGTTATTTTCACTCTTTGTTATCTGAAATTTTTAGAATTGTATATATTTTATCTGTTGAATAATCACGTTCATATTTGATTCTCCCAAACAACTTTGCCGATGTTGTTGTAGTGAACAGTCGGTAACGTATTTCAATCGTAAGTTTACGTTGTAAATTCTAACACTTTGAACAATTACAAATGTCGTTAGAATCGTAATCTTCGACAGTTTTTATCGTCTACGAAACAAATGAATTCGTAAGTGAATATAATTACAAAACGATCGTCTATTTGTGTTTTTTAAAATTAAAGGTTTAAAACTGGTTCAAGTGGGCGGATGGTTTGCCGTAATACCACAAGTACCATTTAACGAACTTCCGTAATCCGGATTGCAAATCGGTTGTCGGGTTATACCCGAGCTCCTTCTGAGCCAAACTGATATTCACATGTGGGAATGAAAAGTCGACGTTTCCAGTCACGTCGGTCACATCCATCTTTGCCTTCATCCCCAAACTATCCTCCAATATCCTCACCATCGCCGGCACCGTCACCGGCGACGAAATACTGTTACCCAAATTAAAAATCCGATAAGGAGCACTTCCTTTTTTCTTTCCACCCGACCCGGTACTTTTACCCGATGTATCCAGTGACGCAACACACCCCTTCACAACGTCGTCAATGTAGATGAAGTCTCGGGCCAAGTCGACCCGATCCTTCACCCGGTACACTGTTATCGGTGTTCCCTCTGAAATATTTCGGGTGAAGGAGAAATACACCATGTCGGGTCTTCCCCACGGTCCATAAACCGTGAAGAATCTCAACCCGGTTATTGATAACCCGTAAAGACGGTTGTATGTGTGGGTGATCTCTTCGCCGGTTTTCTTGGTGGAGGCGTAGAGAGAAGCGGGTGGGTTGGCTGGATCCGATTCGGAAAAGGGTGCCTTGTTGTTTACCCCATAAACGGAACCGGAGCTGGCCCATACGACGGCGGGCTGCCGGCCGGCGCATTTGCATTGTTCTAGAAGCGTCACGAGACCGGCGACGTTGCTATGGACGTAAGAGTACGGGTTATCGACGCCGTATCGTACGCCTACCTGCGCAGCCAAGTGCATAACGTGCGTAAATGCTACGGTATCAAAGAGCTTGGCTAAAAGGCGCTGGTCGTTGATATCGCCGTCGACGATAAAAACGCCGTGAGCTTCGAGCAACGCCCGTCGTGTTCTTTTCAACGACGGACCGTAGTAGTTGTCGAAGTTATCAACCCCAACGACGCCGTCTCCACGGGTTTTCAAAGCTAGGGCGACATGTGTTCCGATGAAGCCTGCTGCTCCGGTGACAAGTACAGAGATACCGTCAGCACGAAGGATCTGAGCAGAAGAACGGACTTTTTTCTCCCATTGAATTCCACCAATGCCGCCGTGATCCCAGAAGGAAGAGTGGTGGAGGTAGCGGTTACCTGTATCGACGAAGGTCAAATACGAGGCGGTGAATGCAATCAAAATCAGAGCCCAAAGTAACACCATGGTGGTGGAGGCGAAACAGCGATGAAACGCTCGATTCATGATGTGACTCTGGGGACGGTAGATCTTGAATCTACCTGGGCTTGAAGGCACCAATAACGCTTCCTCCAATGGCGGCATTTGTGGATTTTCAATTGAATTCTGAAAATGGGAATTAAGGAATTGGATTTGTTAATGTTGTTGTGAATGGTATGTTCTCTTGTATTCCCCAAGAGAGAGGGGTTGGGGAATTCAGAGAGAGGATTGGAGACAGAAGGCGAAGGGATTTCCTCTTCACCTGCTGAAGGGATGAAAGAGGCCATGGTTGAGATTATAAATGATTCAAACATTTTCCATTCGTCGTTTTTGCTGCCATTTTTAGGGACCATCCATGGCCGCAAGTCGCATTTTCTTACTTATACTTCAAATTTTATTTTGGTTTTATAAAAATTTGGATTTGATCTCTCAAACGAATTAATTACAGATGTTGTCATTGTCGTTTCAGTTTTGTTATGAATTAAGTCCCTACATCTAACTCTGTTGATATTAGAGCCGTTAAGTTGGGGGCTTTTTTGTCTTTTTATATCTTCTTCTTTCAAAAAATTAAAAAAACAATATAATTTGTATATATCTATCTTAATATATATTTATTATCTTTAGATATAAAGTACAACGTCCTTCTTCCACTCCACATCCAACATTCCATGTCACCTCACACCATCAGACTCTAGCTTTTCCTCCGACGACCTACCAGAGAGCACAACACCAAGAAGCGCCCCTTTATAGGTCTTTGCCATCGTTTCAGATTCGCAAAAGTAGGCAAGAAAAACATATTCAGATCAAGATGTACTAGGTTTCAAATAGAGAGAAGCGGATTAAGAGATTAGGGCTTTGTTCGAGCATTTATCGAGTGTTAAACTGGGAGATATGAATGAGATTCATTGAGTTTGGATGTGGTACTAGAACCATGAGTTTGGATCGAGATTCATCAATGGTGATTCAAAACATTCAACACAAACACGACCTTGGCAATGATTTTACCAAACCCAATAATGCTTTAGTTTTTTATTTATGTTTTTGTATTTTTTTTTTCTAGATTTTAATCTGTATGTATCGCATACATGGATTTTGTGTATGCACATTTTTTAGTTGATTGTATCTATGATATTTAGACGATTTAGGGTTTTCATTTTTATAGAAGAAATAGAGATGCATCATTGATTTTTCAAGTTAAAGAAATGGTGATTCAAGGTTTTGATTGTGAAGTTAATTTAGAATTGTGGATATGAATGTTTGATTTGTTCCTCCCTCAAGAACCAGAGAGAAAAACATTACCTATTTATTGTAGGTTTATTTGTGACATTGAGAAATAAATGCGTGGTAGCAACTTGACTGGAGAAGAGGGTCAGTGGATGGCTGGCGATATTGTTTTTCATGAACATTTATACATTTTTTTTTAATTTTTAAGCAAAAATGTAAAAGGACCAAAATGACCCTGACTTAAGAGAGTTGTGGTTAATGGAGTTAGATGTAGGAACTCAATCCATAAAAAAATGAAACCATGGTGATCATACATGCAATTATTTCGTTTAGGGGACTCAATCCAAATTTCTATAATCATAGGGACGAAATATGTAATTTACTCTTTAAACTATTAATATTTTTTTATTAAATAAAAGCATATTCTAATTTAATTTTGATCATCTAAAATAAATTAACAAGAATTGGTTAACTTATTCCGGATATGTCTTAAAAGGAATTGGTTAAAAAAGTTGTTGACTAATTATAGTCGTAGGTGAAAGCCCGTTTTGGTCCTAAATTTGAACTTGGACTGCTCCTTTACCAAAAGGAAGCATGGATAAGGCCTGAAAACTGGTCTTTGGTTGATCGAAAATCGGTCTAAATAATTACTTCACAATTAAAATTCGAGCTATCTTATAAATAATGTTTTTCTTCATTTATTTTATAAATGTATTTATATTGTAGGATAAGTATATCATCGTTTAAAGGATATGAAGATATAGATAGAGATAAACATATTAGAGATATATTAGAATTGATATCTCTCATAGTTATCTACTTATAACACATCCCTATTTAAAGAGCTTTTAATTAACAAAGAATTACAAATTATTCTCTCCATTCATTGTTGTTCTATATGATTTTTCCTCTAATACGTTATCAGCATGTAAGCTCAGGAACCAAACGATTTTCTGTTCCTACCATCTGACACTGCAACCATGATCCAAGTAAGCATACTTTGCTTAGTGTTTTCTTTTTTTCATATGAATTTTAGAAAGTATATGTTTAAGTTGTAAAATATCACCATATTATGCTTTATGTTATATACACAAATATTATGATTTCGTATGAATATACTTTTCTTTTTATATGTTTAAATTATAAACATCACTCTACTATGCTTAATAATATAAATGCAAAATATAATTTACGTAATAATGAAACTTCAAGGTGCCTTCTAAGTTATTTGTCTTATAAAAAAGAAGTTCATACATTATCCCTTATTTACGTAAATGATTAAAACAACCCAACCGTGAAGAACTTGAGTATAAATATAAATGTCCAATGTAAAGAATACCTTTGTCGGAAAGATACAAGAATATACCTAAAACCTACCAACTCCATATAAACCCTAAAAAACCAACCTTTTGAAAAGGTACAAGCAAATATTGTCATGTTTTGAGACGACATATCAGTCCTAGCTTTCATAGGGAATACCTTCTACTAGGAAACCCCAAAGAACTGGGGATGCCCTGAAATGAAGAATCGAGAGTATTCGTGACATGTGCTTTTCTAACTAAACGTACAACGGAATGGAAACTCATTTACTCGATTACAAGAAGGTAACTGATTTCAACAAAGAAATGTTGTGTCTCAAGACGCATTTCAATCTCCGTGGTAAAAAACTCACAGAAGATGACATGATTCATAACATTATTTATACCTTTCATATATCAGTAAATATTAATGAACCAATATAAGTTGGAATATAACATTTAGACAAACTTATCAACCTACTTCAGGTGGTTGAGAGACATAACAAGGTTTTTTTTCAAAAAAAAAAAAAAAAAGCTAGACATGTTGGGAGAAAGAAAATTCTCGAGATTAATAATGAAAGCGTTAGAGGTGAAAACAACTCCAAAGAAGTGTGAGTTAAAAACAATTTCACACATGTGACATCTATGCACTATGTAGGAGAAGCCCTTGAAAGGGTCAGTGTCATGGTAAGAGTCGGGAATGATTTTCAATACCTAAAGCAGACATACAACAACTGCCCCAGGTGATAATGGACAAACAAAAGAGAAATGCACTAACTACTCCTTCAAAATGAACAAGTTGAAAATAAACATTGATACATGTGACGTACCACTACTTGCTATCTATTTAAACATTCTCTTATGAACTATTTTTTTTTTAAAATGGTTGATTATTGAATTATTTGAAAATTTTTATTTGAAGTATCAAATTTATTCTATTTGCATATATACATTTGAAATTCTAACCATTATAGATGTCAAGAAATATAAAAAAACTACAAAACTCTTAATATTTTTCGTTCCGTGTAGGAATGTGTCGAGGAGAAATTGAGTTTTTTTTGTGAACCTCCCACATAATCTAAATAAACAGATTAATATTTATTTCATTTTATAATTCCTTCAACCAAAATACTTAAACGATTGACTGTCATTTTCTTGTTGATACAAGAGTAATAGTCACTAAAGCACTATATTAATATGAATTTTGTTAAGATATTCGTATCAATTGGAAATCATATTATGAGAATGGAAATGGATATATATACATCAACTTTAATGAATATGAAATAAAATATATATTAGAGAAATTAAAGTGTCGAACTAGTGGATTTCTAGGTCATTGAATCATATTTTGTCACCAATAATGAATTTTGGGACAATGACACATATATGTTTCGACATGACCAGGTGGGACACCATGGTCATGAAATAATGATCCGTGTGTTATAAAATATACATAGACACATTCTCTTTTGAGTGAATCACATCATGAAATCCCGAGGGATTTGGTGGTCGATTTGAACTTGACTTACCCGAGAGGGTTGAAATCCTTGATTTTCGACCAAGAGAAGTTACGATGGTTTCAGCAATCCGGATTAAATGTTTAGGAGAACGAAGTATTTCTAACATGGTTCCCAACATAGTTTACCGATGCGGGATTTTCAAGACAACACTCAAAAGCACGACTTTCGCATAAATGCAAGATTCATTCATGGAAGGATTAGACATTATAACTCGCACTTGGTTCTTCTCTCCATTTAAATTTAAGTTGTTTTTAACCAAGTTAGTTAAAGCTACAATCTGTGCATTTAAGGCGGTGATGACATCAATCTCACAAATATCTGCTGTAGTTTTAGGAACAATGCCACGAGGGTTTGACCAGTCAGTGTTATTATTGGCAACTTTCTCTAAAATATCATATCTTTCGTTATAAGTCTTAGAAGTGAAAGCGACGTTAGCCATAGCATCGAGAATGATTTCAACAACATTAGAAAAAACCATTGTAAAATTTTCCAATTAGATGCAGTGGAGGATTCCATGATGAGGACATCTCCGAAGAAGGTCCTTGAACCTCTTCCATGCATCTGAAATCACTTCGTCATCTCCTTGCTAAAACATTAAAATTTCATTTCAGGGCTTCACGTTCCTCGTGGGAGGAAAGTACTTCTTTTAGTAAATTTTCAACCAAATTCGTCCATGTGTCAATCGAATGAGGTGGTTGAGAGTTTAGCCAGACTTTTGCTCTATCTCTCAATGTATAAGAGAAGAGAGTTAACTTTAAGGCTTCCTCCAAGAATTCGGGAGTACGAAAGTGACCCATCATTTCTAAAAATGATTTCAAGTGAGAGTGCCGATCTTCTAATGATAATCCTCCAAACTGACCCACTACTTGGACATTTGAAACACTACCGACATTGCTTTGAAATGTTGAGCTGTAATATTGGGCCTAAGAATAGCCGATTTTGATTGATCAAAATTGGGTATTGAATAGCCCCATATTCCTCTATCTTTGTGTCACACCCCGCTAAAGCGGAATCACAAGATATAACAGGCAAGCGAGACATAGCAACAGTTCATAAATAACACTATTTCAAGTTTTTCAAAATAACATGATTCATCGACATAACAAGAGTTAGAATTTACACAACGTTCACAATTACATCAAAAACTTGACTTAATCGATCTTGGCTCAAGTATGCCTCCTTAAAATCCAAACCACTCACTTAGAACCTGAAAAACATGGAAATAAAAATGAGGTCAATTACAAAGAGTTGGTGAGTTCACGGGTTTTCACATGCATAAAACATTTCAATGCATAAACCAAGTAATAGCAAACTTATGCGAATTCTTTGCACTTAATAAATGAAAATCTCWTACGATGTAAAACTTGAGGCACTATTGAGCCTTACCTGACCAATTTGCCCCATTAATTTTC